TTTCTCATCTACGGGATCGCATACAACACAATAGTTTCTTGATGTAAGAACAATTGGTTCGGCAACTCGAATCACCTCCTCGTTGACACTTGGAATGTGACTCTCGGTGTCAGCTGAGGTGATAAGCCACTCCTCTCCATGCTTCCTTCTGTGTCCAAAGTCATCTGTATGCGACTTTATGGCTCGAACATGAAGGGCGTGCTAAAATATGCATTTAGAAATAGAGAACGTTATCAGACATTTTAAGATTCTCAAATTATAGTTACCTTCTCATCCAAATTATAAGCGTGAATTACACTCTCACAGTGCTCGTAGGCACCGAGCATATAAGCACCAGGATCTTTTATTAGCCACTTTTCACCAGCAAAACGCCTTCTGCCATTTTTATCGGTGAAATTTGTGGTAGCCCTGATTAGCAGAGCAGTGTTGGGTTCAACGGTCAAAGCATCACACCGTTTCAAAACCTCGACTTCCTTTCGTGGTCTGTATGCGCCTTTAAATTTGAAAATAAAATAATAAATTTTGCATTTGATATGTAAATAAGTATTTGGGTAGATTCACCAACCTGGTCCTTCAAACAACCACTTATCACCAGCAACACGAGCAGTTCCATCGGAATCAAGAAAACCGACTTTTGCGGTCAATAACAAGGCCTCGACAGCAGATAAAACATCTAACTTTGTGACTGGAGTGTCTATAGTTTCCCCAGGATACAATGGAAAAGGCGGCTGGGCGAAACGATATTCAACTTCACCGAAGTCAAGAATGGCTTGCCCATGTTCCTCCATTATATTACCTTCTTCGTCGCGTTTCACAGGGTTTGAGATAGCACAATACTCACTGGTTGTAACTGATATCATCCTCACTGGCATTTGAGTAATTCTAAAAAGAAGGAATTTAATTTAATATAGAATACTACGTCTCATGATCCTTGCGTACGAACGTCGTTGGTCCAGTAACAAGTCTTGTTATGTTCGTATTTCTATCAAGAACATGAATGTAGTTGTAGGGTGGCACAGAAACCACGACAGCATCAAGATTCTCAGTAGGAGCCATTTCTAAGATTCGAAGCGGAAACAAGCAACTATATACCTCGCCAAACCAATGGCCTTACNGTTAATTAAACTTTTTATTGAAAACTATAAGTTGTTTAAGATTTAAAATTCTTTAAATTCAGGGTTAATTCGTGCCATCTTTATACTTATATTTTCACATTCTGTATGGCTAAATGTAAAAGCTATACTGCTTAAATTCAAGACAGACAAAAATAGTCTATGCCACTTAACATGAAACATTAGAATGTTTTAACTTTTCATAGTTTATTTAAAAAGGAGCAAGTTAATTTGGATATTTTCGATCCCTCCGTTCTGTTTCCCTAATGAAATATAAAGCTGATATTCGATAAAGATTTACCAAAAATAAAGCACTCCAAATCTGAATGTTGGTTATGGTTTATTTTTGTGCGTTGTGATGTAAATATACGACAAAAAGTTTTCCTAAGCAGATTATTTATTTATATCTAATGGCAGGCGTTTTGACGGCTATCATTAGCGCTTTAGTTGACTTCAGGCTTCACAGATGGAAAGAGACGTTAAAATGAAAAAAAAAGACAGAAGAGTGTTTCAAAGACGAAGGTGGAAAAGGTAGAAAAAAGTTGAGGTGAGTACTATGAAAGTAGTTGAATATGACATACAGTGGGGTCAATGAGGTTTGAAGTCAGAAGTCAACTGTCGGTTTATAGACTTTTTTTGCCGTATGAGTATAAGTTACCCATGATGCACCACGTGAAGATAAGTCTATCACACACCCTATCTCGCAGATTACTGAGTGAGTCCTCATGGCAAAAGAATTCTGAGTTTATATTTGTGTTACCCCTATGNTCAATTTAAGCCTATTTGCTTCAATCCAATTAATACATTTTTTACTGAACTGAAACAGAAACTTCTCATCTTATTAGTGCAAATATCCTCAATCCCCACACTTATATGATTACTTACTAAACGAATTGCATTGTGTACCATCGCAGTTTTACATTATGTAAGCCTCAATATGTCTTTATAAAATTTTCCAATTAAAAAAGGTGATTTCCCATAAAATTTATTTCGAATCTTGCAGAAAGGCCTTCATTCCTCTCTGTTAAAATATAATAATTACGCCTCGTTCGAACGGCATATGTTGATCAAGCAACTTAATTCAGGTCTCTTCATATCGTCACTCATTATCATTTAATTGCATAACAATTTGATCTTTTAAAAACCCGGATATTCACACCTCTAACGTATTGAAGACATTTTGGAAAGTTAAAGATGAAAAATTCGTCAATTATTCAACAATCAGTATGATTAACTTCATTTACGCATTGTTGTAGACATTAAACGTGCCTGTAGAAACGACGAGATCTCGACTTTGTTACCTATTGTTGGTACCCATAGGTTGACGTCATAATGAGAAACGTTTTTGTTTAGAAATAATTTGTTTGGCACTTCCATGCAACCCTTACACTGATAAATCTTAACAAGCAACTTAACTTATTCTTACTAATCTATTACAGATATTAATAGTCAATCGCAAGGAAAGTACTACTTTATTATAAATAACATGAATTTTAATAAATTGAAAAGGCGGAATAATAGGAGAATTAATAAGTAGACTATCTTTTTAACCCAAGTAGTTGATAAAAATTTTATTTTAGATAAATTAACAATTTTATTTTGAGACACCGGTCAATTCTAATCCTTGATTCCCTCATGCTAAGGTCGACATCTGGTGGGGTTTGCGGTTATAGCGGATTGCCACGCTAGTAAAGCCTGACCGACTCAGAAATCTCTATGGCAGATTCTCCAACATCTAGCTAGACTCCCAGAACAAGCTAAGCTATAGCCCAGCTATAAGGGAAAAAACGTGTAGAACGGAATACGTTTATTCGGTTAGTATATTGATAGCGAATTGTCCTTTTGGCAAAGCAATTAGTTATCGGATAAATCTATCATAATTCGTGTGAACATTAATAGCTAAATTTTTCTGAGTAGTGTTCTATAGCAGGATTTCTATTGGTCATAGATGAAGTGTACACTTGATCCGCAATATACATCCTGAATAAACGTGCTCCGTGCTACAAGTTTTTTATAAGTCTCCTAGGATTCGCGCATTGCATCTTACATCGTGGCAAATATCTCAGGGTGGTCTGCACGACCATGCCTGAGCAAAGTCTTTTAAAGAAATAAACTATTTTTAGCCCTTTACCCAAATCTTTATATCCTTTAAAACGTTTGCATCCAATAAATGGAGTTATAACTCAAACACATTGAAAAATGGCAACCAAATATTTAAAATCTGAGGGATTGGATAAAATGAAATTGTACTTTATTGGATTAGTCGTGTTTATACTTAGTACAATATATTTGTTGCTGCTACTGAGTTATTCCCTTTATGGTGCCAATGATTCTTTGTGAATGAGATTGTCCTCATTGACTGTTATAAACGAAACAAGCGCAAAAGCTCTGCAAAGATGGGGTAAGATACTAACACATGGGAATCCTGAAAAAATGGTTTCAACCTATTCTATTTTGTTGTATTGGATCTATAGATATTCTACGTTTGATGGTCAATAAATATTATATTTCTATAAGAAATAATCAAAGTTTATCTTTATTTAAATGAAAGAATCTTACGGTTTATTTTGCTGATCAGTATTGCAATTTTGTTGCTTTGTATCAGATTTTTATTAAATAGACTCGGAACTAATATGGTATTGTCACTTAGAGCGATTAACTTTAATATTAATAATAGGAATAGTGAACTTTTCAGTAGAAAGGATAATATCTTGAATAGGACAATATCCTCAAGGAATTTAGCATCAAGTACCACAAGGTTTTGAAAAGAAATAATAAATAAATTGTTTATTTAAGTCGCGAATTTTGTTATTTAAAAGAATTCGCCATATCTATCATCATTTTTCAGCAAACGGATATTAATTATATTTAAGTACGTTTACTTCAGCATATTTCTATCACGTATGCAATAGACGACAATATCTAATGAAACTTTTGCTCAACATTTATATTAATTTAGTCAAATTCCCATCATTAGAAATTCTGTCTAAATTTAATAAGCAAATATATAACCGCGCAATTAGAGCGTCCTTTTCAACGACGAAAATGGGGGCGAAGTGTTCTCATGTATTAGAAACTTATAAAGACCCTGATTCTGTACCGAATGTTGTAAGACCCCCTACTCACGATCCTCTGAGGGGTTTTACTCACGGTCGCAAAAAACGGGAACTTGTCGTAAGCTTATTTTTCTTTAAATGTCTTATATATAAGCAAGAAATCATCTAGTTGGTTTTATTTTCTTGTAATTATTTGGATATTTACGCGCCTTTAGATGACAAGAGTATATCCTTGCTTATTTTTTAAAAAAAAACTTTTATGAAACTTTTCCTTTTAATATATACACGTACTTAGGATTATTTCTAAGTGTGGAAAAATTATTCTCAGTCATCATTTTATATCGCTTACCTTAGATTTCGCTATTATACTTTTACTAGTGTTCTATCTGTTATCAAATATACAGATGAAAACTAGAAAGCTGCTTGTTCCATTAATCCTCCTTGTCTTGTCAATTATTCCATAGCTCTTCTAAACAAGTTAACTATAAGGTCTCTTGCGAAAATAGACTTGCGTAATTAAAAATATTTGTTAAGTATATCTGCTGATCAGCTGTTTATTTTTTGTGTATACGTATTTTGTTGAGTTTTGAAAATTATGGAACTCGAAGACTGAGCAGAGGTATTTATGTTTTAATGATAAATGTTTGTTAAATGGCTCGTTGCATTATCTAGTTGAATTACCAAGTGCTTTACAAAATTTATATCCTAAGAGTTACCATACTCGTTTTATTGGTTAGGTGACAGAAGAGGAAATGATTGCAGCTGGTCTTTCATCCAAAGAACGGGACTATTGTGCACCCATGTTAATGGCTTGGCGTAAATGCAAGGCGGAGCGATCAATTCTCTTCCCTCTCTTCTGTGCACATTTCCGCCACGGTTACCTAGAATGCCAAACTCGTGATCAAGTCATGCGAATGAAGGAATATGAGCGCGAGTACCGTCTGATGAAGCGCGAACAAGGAAAGATTGAGACTCAGTCTGCCTAAGTATTTCTTACACTTATGTATTCCACCCACTAGCTGTTTAAAAATGTGCCTCCTTTATATAGATGCATTTTTGATTTTTGATATTTTACAGAAGTAATCAAAAATTACATAGCACAAGAGAGACATTATGGGGTTACGTTCGTTTGGTATTTATGAGATTCTGAGTAGAATCCGCGGCGTCAACGTTTTTCACCAAAAAGTAGAGATCGGCAAAGAATACTAGGAGTGCGAGAACAAAACCAGTAGCGATTCTTTGTACTGTTGAGGTGTTACTTTGGCCAAACATGTCACAAAGGAAGTATCCGAAGGCAAAGGAACAAATCACGACTACAGCGAAATTAACTACCATTGTGACTTGGCGTTTCATACAGCGAACTTCGTCGAACCCAGTGGAGCGATATTTGGTTGAGACACCAAGAGGTGGTAAAGTGGATGTCATCCTTCCGTATTCCATGTTTGCGAATTTTTTCTTTAGTGTTTCTACCCGTTGTTCAACAACAATACTTCTCGGAGGAATATAGGGCTGAGGAAGAACAATTTCAGATGATTCTAACGTGAGCTTCCAAAGGGGAGTCAGACCGGAGGCATTAAGATCCTTCAAGGTATTGTGGGCTTCAAGGAGAATAGAAAATTTTATGATTTGTGAGTCGGGTTTGATATTTTCAAGTTTGGTCCTAAGATTGGGAGGCAGGATTTTAAACGAAAGGGCTCTCTTGACAAAAGAGAAGATCGCTTCCGTTAATTTAATATCGATATGTGCATATGGGTCTGCCATTTTGGCAAGGTAAGCGGGAGATCCTTTGACGTCAGCCAAACTGGCGAGAATTGGTCGTTTGGGCCATAGTGATAGCAAACTTCGACCTTAAATGTTCCTTTTTTAATGCAAATGCTTAAATTAAACAGTTCATCAAAATTATACAAATTTTAAAAATAATAAGGAATCATTGCTAAAATATTTCGTAAGGAAAGGAAATGTATATAGATTTGTTAAACACCAAGTAATAGAAGTTAAACTTCTAACCATAGCTTATGAATTTTTCCAGAATTTATATTAATATCCGCTTTAATTATTATGTTTGGTTAAATACGGATCTCTAACAAGTCAATGAAGTAGTTTTTGAACGTTATCTTTATTATAATAGTTGTGAATACTATCTTTATTAATAGAACAAATAGAGAATATTCTCTATAAATTTCTTCTAATTTATAGATGTATTCGTCTCTGTACCTACTTTTAGACGAAGTTCTGACGTGATTCCAGCATGCCAATTAGCATCTTGCCATGGATGATTGACATTGGAGTTACTTTCTGCCTATAATTGTGCTCATTGGTCTTGATGAAGGGATATTGTTCCAGATCACCGACCGTTGGTTAATATCAGTTGATGTGAAGTATTTTATAGATTACTTGTCTATAACTGAAAGATACTGAAAAGTAAAATTACTCTAAATATACTCACAGTATTGGAACTTGAGCAATTGAACCAATTACTCTAAACAATAAGACCCGAAACTTGAAAGTTTGCGAGCTTTCAGATTTTAATTGGTCGTTTGGAATGAGTGCACAAACGCTGGTACGTCAATTTCACATATTAACGCTAAAATTCTTCAATTAATTTGTAAAAATGGTTATGACTACTTAAAATTATTATTTAGCCTTTAAAATTAGCTTTATAAAAAATATATACTTGTCACTGTTAAGAAATGATTTAATAAAGGGTTTTGTTTTACTTACTAAATAACAGCCGCCTGAGATGACCGTCTGATGGCCGACAATTTCTTTTTGCAGGAGTTGGGATTTTATAAAATCTATTCTGGACGGATTGAAATTTTTATGCCTCTCTGAGCGCTAACCTTTCACTGTCAACTGCTCTTAGACGTCTATTTATTTGAAATGATTTCGAAGGTGTTTCATGTGTCCACCTTTTCATATAACATCATTCATTTTCTGATATCAGTGATTATTCTTCTGAACCTGGTCTCTCTGTGTAGATCGCAACCTTCAAATACCAGTAATCAGTCATATATTTCTGCCAATACTTTGAACCCTGTGATAAATATGCTTCAGCTTTTATTTAATAATAAAACTCAACTTCAATTGAAGCCCTATCTTCCGTTCAAGGATTATAATACGGATTTACATAATCACAATACTTCTTCACTTGCATCGCATCCCAGTGTTTTAATTCACGTTGGAGATAATTATTTCGACTTTCAAAGTTGCATTTTGAAGTGTTTGCCTTCTCTTAATAGTTCATGGTTTGCTTCTATTAATCTGAAGGAGGGATGTTCCTCAGTAGAGGTGATTTACTCCATTCTCAAATCAGCTCAGACAATTAATGGAAGTGGTCTTAGAGGAATTCTCTTCTTTGTTGATGCAATTCCAAATGCTCCCAGTTTGCATTATCTAGCCAATCAACCAGGTAAATATTAATTACCGACTCTTCGTTGCTTCTGGCGAAGTTGACCAATTCTTTTATTTGTTGTAGAAATGCTATCGGCTCCATTTTATACATTTCTTTTATCAAGAGATGATGTACCTCAGCTAGTTCGACGTTGTTCGGGTATTTTGACATCTGGTGGTGATAACTCCCCTCTTTGTACAGTGTTTCTTTCACCTCCAATACATGAACGTACTTATCGAAGATCACGATTATGGATTTATCGATCGGCTCATTCACAGTCAATTTCTCCGTCGTCGCCACCCTCCTTCCCCCGTCGACTTACAGTCACTTCGTCTGATCAATATACAAACCAGTCGGTTGTTAGGACTGAAGGAGTTGGTGGTACCGCAGGGGGTTCAGCAGTAGGAGGTGGAGTGAGTAATGTCGAAGATGCTTTTCTCAATCGATCATCCGTACTCTTTGTCGCTGTTTCCTTCATTCTTCTCATGTTCATTTCCCTTGCTTGGCTCGTTTTCTACTATGTCCAACGATTTCGATACCTGCATAGCAAAGAACGTGCCTCGGTAAGCTCCCTCCCCCCGCCCCCACCTTTCTTTTAAAAATGCCCATTGGTCAGATTTTCCGTTAATTTGCCTACTTATATTGAAGGTTGCCATTGCTAGAGGGTAGAGTTTAGAATTAGTCAATCTACTATCAATCTATTAAAAGTGCATAGTTTTTTCTATAAACCATATTTTCCTCTGGGAGTTTGCCTTATCGATAATCCTCTAAATGTATAATATATTTTTATATATTGCACATTTTTTTATCGAATTTGGGAAATTGTATATTCCTGCGTTTCTAGCATACGAAGTTGTTGAGTTTCCTATTCTGTTCCAAAGTGGTACATCTCCATCTATTCGTTGTAATTTCACCCACGGTTTCGATCTATTTAAGGCAAACGTTCACTAGCTCAAATATCCTATTATTTCCTTATTTTCAATTTCGGCTGCTTTTCGTGAGGCATAATAAATGATAACATTAATGGGCATTCAATCATTTTTTTGCTCTCTCATTGCGTACTGATGAAATTGGAACTCTACTCCACTTATAAAATATCTTTGTATTAGGCTGCGTTGTAATCAATAACTCAATTGAAAGACGAAAGAGCTTTTCATCACGCGCTTGTTGATTATGACGGAATCTAGAAGATACTGCTTATGAAGACGCTATTCTAAACTGAGGGCATGTGGGAGTCCAGCTGACATTTTGGGCACTAAGCTACGATAAGGCACCCTCGGAGTATTTATTTACTTACATCAAATGGCTGGCTTTTTGGTAGCTATCATTAGCTGTTTTAGTTGACCTCGGGCTTCACAGAGGGGAGGAACATCAAAGCTACAAAGAGTAGAAAGGATAGACACAAGGGTAGAAATAAAGATAAGGTAAGGTGAGTACTTTGGAAGTGGTCGACTATGACATGCAGTAGTTTGAAGTCGGGAGTCAACTGCCAGTTAATAGACTTTTTTGCCGTATGAGTATACGTTGCCCAGGGTGCATTACGTAGAGGTAAGTCGATCGCACACTCCAGACACCCTCGAAGTTAAATCTACGAAAAGGAAGAATGCATAGCAGCCTTTCCCCCAATGGTGACGAGAAGAGAATGCGAAGTGGGGAATAAACGTCTAATTGTCTTGATTTGGAAGGTGGAGTTGTGAGGAGCGAGGAGCTGAGAATTGGTCTGCGTTGCAAACAAGATGAGCAATCCAGAAGCAGAAGCGTGTATGCCTTGTAGAATTTGTTTCGAAACAATTTTTTGCTGTTGTAAACAGCTAATTTTAAGCCTGCCCCACAACCAATCTCATTGCCTTTACTGTTTAAGTGGCATACTTCATGTCTTAATGCCCTCCTAATTCTCTATCAGGTCACTGTTTGCTGGTTACCAAAACTTTTTACTGTTTGTGATGAATCATTTAAACCGTGCGCGTGCGCTCACGTCTTCCCCCTTGAAACGACTGATTTGAATCATTGGCGCTTTTTCATATTTTGGCCTTCATTAATTAGAATTGTAATAAATTTATAATAAAGAATAGCGGTAGATTAGGTGTGAATGCAGAACGCTTTGTGTATCGAGTTCGTTGGTATGTCAGGTAATTAATAACGAGCCAAGTCGAGGCGTGTGGTTGTTGCCTAATGTCGACTACTATTGTTGCCACACCCCTGCTTGCATTGGGATCTTTCTCTCTCTCCCCCACTCTGATAGTTTTATTTTTTTTTTAATTTACCCCCTCTCTCTACATTTCAGCGCCGTCTGGCCGAGTTGGCTCGGAAGGCCGTTGCTCGGATTCCATTGAAGCTTCTTCAAGCCGGTGACAAGGTGAGTGGAGAGGATGGGGTGGGAGGGGGGGGGGTTGGTACTTAGGCCACTATG